CTTCATCCATTGGCTCGGTTCCCTGCAAAACAAAAAATTGTACTTAGTATTACACAGTATGACTTTTTCTTTTAAAGATCTAAGTAAACCAAATTTTACCTCTGCTGTTTTCTCTCCATGCCCATCATCATTATTCGCATCATTGTTATTCATAGTATGAGAAATGTAATCATCATAATTCACGTCCCCATACATGCTTCGAGCATCTAATTGCTCTTTCACATAGCCTTCCACTGCTGCAACTCTTGTAACCAACCCAGCAAACTTGTCATTCATCTCCTTGATCCCATTCTCCATTTCCATCTTCAGAATCTGTACGACCTCAACCAAGTCAGCGACGGAAGCATTCCATTGTGATCCAGTGGCCTCATTGGCAGCATTGGTGGCATTCGCCTCATTGGCGGGCTGCTCTTCTAGTCGGGCGGCCACGTCTTCTTCATACATCTGTTTAAAACAGACCGGCTTGTCTTCATCGTTAATACACTTCAACCAACTATGAACAACAGCATCATCGACATCATCATCGTCATCTTCTTCAGTAACTCGAGCCAAAAAAGCTTCTTCCTCATTGTAAGGGACCAAGATGCTATCAATCTCATGTGGATATAAACAAAGATTGCAATTCCAATCACAAATAAATTAAAAATATGAAAATTTAAAACATTTGAATTTAAAAGTATCACTGACCTTAGTTGTACCAAGTGCTTCATTTATTTCCTCGAGAGAAAATCCTTTCATGGAACTTTTTTTGAACTTGCTCTTGCACATCGACACGTTTTCTTCGCAGATGGAACAACTTCCAGGAATTTCTTCTTCAGTGATGGAATTGCTTCAATTGCAAGAAGCTATATATGCCACATATATTTCGAGTTAGCTTCAAATCTATGGAAATACAAGTAATACATATATTCATATTTACCTCCAAAGGAATGCATAAGCTTGGAAAAGTCCAATTTGATCCGCTAACAACCCCTTTAAAATGATCCACAGTATGCTGGATCTTTTCCATATTGTTATCAAAAGATAATCTCCCCCAGGGAAATGTCCATGATGGTTCGGCTGCTTCCGTCGCCACCATCGTTGCCTCCTGCTTCTTCGTCCTCTGAAGATCCCGGGTCCGAGTCTTCATAGACAACCTGAGAGGTTCTCTTAGATCTTCGAACCTCCGCTGGAACCTCATCACTTAAACCATAATTCGGCCTCTTTGTACGTGCCATATGCCTACATGATCAATCCAAATCAGTTACAATGGAGTCTAAATCGACATCCATCTCACAAAACCGACGAGATTATGACAGTCACCTTCTCTGATTCACCTACAAATCGATTGCTGTGGTGAGAGTTTGCCTTAGTTTTTCTAAGTAACTGCTCGTAGTGGTCCCGACGAACTAGGATCAATCGTCGTTTCTTCCACTTTTTTTTCTTTTAAATTTTTCCCTAAAATTTACCTTTGATCGATTGAGAAGGGGAAAGGGTGATTTAAGCGATTTTTTACACTAAGATCTGACTAAGGATCCGCAATATATGGGCAGATTAGGGTTTGGGTGGGTTTGTCCTGGTTGGGTCAGTAATTTGTTAAGTTTTTAAAGGAATCGATATCTACTCATTTTCTCTATTTAAAATAAACTAGATCTTGGACCCCCGCCACGCGCGGGTTTTCTTTAAACGAATTTTTTTTTGGCCTTAGAAATGTCTCGGACAACCGACTGTGAAATATAAGTTTGGCCCAAGCAGATCCAAAATCTTATATAATCTAATCTCATTATGATCTATATTTAATTAGCAGATTCATCATTATTTTAAATATGTGTTGGGCCATTGCAATTTAAAAAGAACGAAACATTATTTTAAGCACACGGCCCAGATTAGTATATGACAATCCGTTAGATAACGAAAAGACAAAATATTCATTTTCCGGATTTGGGAACGTTTCACCCGAGAGAAACCCTCGAATACCGATCGAACAACAAATCTCGATGATTTTCCTTTTTTTTAATGATCTTCATGAACCGTACATCACCAAGTCTTAGTTATCAGCTGAAGTTTATCACAAAACATGAATTTCAATAATTGTTAACTATTTGCGAAGAGTCAGCGATTTGGGGAAGATCTCTAGATTTTGGTAAGTTGTACCATAGTTCTTCTGTATTAGTTTTACTTGTTTCTGCATTTGAGCGGATTACACAATTATGCAACCCGTTTGTGTTTAAATTTTGAAAAGAATTTTCGATAACTTCGATCCAATTTCTTCGATTTTTTTTCCTATGAATCAGATAATTAATTTCATGGATTTAAATAGAAGAGATAACGCTAATCATGTAATATGATAGTTATTTTCTAGTTTCACTCAGAAAATTTGTTCCTCTTTACGTTTCTGAAAATGATGACGAATTAATTGATTTTTTGTTTTCATCTAAATATTACAATGGCGATGGTTGTTTGAGGAACCACATGATCTGATATTCAACGACTACATATATAAAGATAAGTTTTTTGCATAATTGATAAAGAAGATATAGTAATCTGATTACATATTTTTCTCCAGTAATATTTTATTAACATGTCATTTTTTATTGCAGAAGTATAATATCTTCGGTGAAATCAGATATTGGTCCAGGTGAAATCGAAAAAATACTATGATTCCATCATATAATTTTTACGTAAGTTGAACTTTCTTTTTAACGCATATTTTTCTTACGTATTTGCCTCTGACTGTTAAACTAATGTAATCTCAGTTATAATTACAGATGCAAAAGCTTAGAAGAGGATATCAGCAGAATAAGGCTTACGTATATCTTCTCCAAAAACTATATTTAGGTCCTGACTGGAAGGTGTACTGCTTCGATGATTGGAGGACTTTTGCACGGATTCGCCAAGATGATTTAAAGGGTTTGACATCGGCCAGGTTAGTGAAACCAATGAGAGAACTCATTATGAGAGTTTTGTGATAGAGAATAGTTGATTGAATAGTATTTGTGCGAGTCTATATATAAGAAGAATAGCTATAGGTCACAAATATTCTCATATATATTTAGTAGGTAAGTAGTTAGAGAATTTTTCGCTTATATTGATGATCTTATGGTAAATATTCTAGAGAATATTTTCACTTCTAACTAATCACATAAACTGATTTTCAATTTTGCCATATTCTCTATTATTGGTTTAGGAAAAGATATTCGTAGATATAATTGACTTTGATATATTTTCGAATTTTTACCATATTCTCTGTTATTAGTTTAGGAAAAGATATGGATATACATGATGGACTTTAAATTATTTGCGAGATTGTTATAAGATCACTAATTTACTTATAACTAATTGAGTAAATAAGATCGTTATATATGTGAAGTACATTTAAAACGAAGATATCTAGTTAATGTTTTGAGAATTTGAAAATGAGCGGGTTTTTGATTAGTTACGGAAAAGATATAAGTAGATTTGTTTAAATTCATTTGAATTATAACCAAGATTTAAGATGATGATAAACCGGTTTATATGCATTGCCTTAATCATTTGGTTTAAGTAAATATCGGTTAAGATGCATTGACTGAAAAGAATCTCAAGTATTCGATGGCATAAAAATTGATCCTGCTTGCTTCTTAGTTCATATAATTAGATATGATTGAATTTGAATTATTTTGCGGATTTAAGGTCTAGATAATACGGTTTAGATGAATTGCCTTTCTGGAAAGGTTCAAGTAAATGTCGGTTAAGATACTTACATGTTCTGGAATGGAAACGATGTATGATCACAGTAATTCTTGATATTTACTTGCATCTGAGTACATTTTGATCTTATATTTGCAGGATAATTGAGTTTATGCTCTACAATGACGGTGATTTTAATAAAATTAAATTAATGTGGATTAAAGAATTATCTGTTAAATGTATATAGTTACAAATATATAGTTAGATAGTTAAAAGCATTAACATGGTTTATACATAATATTTGTATTTATTTATTAATGGCAAATGTTGTAATTTACACCTTAGACAAAGGTTAATTTAAAAATAGAATCTTCTTCTAATAGTATAGATGTTATAAAATTATCCAAATCTAACCGGAGTATACTGAATCATTTTGGAACCACCAGGGGCATCTCAGCCATTGAACCGGTTACATGCCTAAATCAGGTTTATCTATTCTCTTTTGATTTGGGTTTCTCTTCTCTTTTGCTAGACCTTCTTCCATGTAATGAGAGAGAAGAGTGTGATTGAAGATGGCGATAGAAGTAACAACATCGAAACATGCACCGATCCCAACACTTGAGATAAACATAGTCCTCGCGCTGCCAACAACGACGATTGTTGAGACTCACAAGAACGCTTTCCTCTGCGTCGCCGGAAGAATCCCCTCAACAGGTTGGTCTCTTCCTTAAACCATGTACTCTGGCGATCTCGTCGGCGAAGCATTTCCCTTCACTTCACTGATGCGAGTGCAATCGTTTTCGTTTTCATCCTATTTCAGAAAAAGTCGATACTTGTAGAGAAGAGCCAAGTCTCCCCCTCAATAAATCGCCATGTTTGTCCTCTCTTCTTCTCTTAAAGTAATTAAATAACTCTATAATGATAATGGATTTAGCTAAAATCTAATTGGTATAAGTGGTGTATGCTTTGTCTTGATGGATTCAATCCAAATTTCTTCTGAGATTTTGTAATGAAGTTTCCTAAGGAGAGAAAAAGGTAACAAAAGATGCATCATATCAAGTTTACAGTTTTGAATTAAAATTGGACTTTAGTAGTACACATCATGCTAAGTTTCATTTCTTTTTTATTATGTTCGTTATATACATTGACATGGGGGTGTTTTGCTGCTCAAAAACAAGTATTACATAGTAATATACCATGGAAAAGAAATTCCAAAAACGATTGATAACGATAAACCGGTTATAGACAAATCTTTTGGGTTTGACACTGCTGTGGAGGAAGCTCAACGAGCAATCAACGCAGCTAATGTTGAATCAGAGAGCAATTAGAATGGTATCGATTTTGTTAAGCTTATGGGTCATTACAGTGGTAAGCTTTTCTCTTCCTGTGTGTTTTACCTTAAAACATTACACTTAAAAACCTGTTATTCATAAAAGGCTAAGTCCTGATTTCCTACAGGATTCATAGCGATGTATGCTACATTAGCAAGTAGAGATGTTGATTGCTGCTTGATTCCCGAGTCACCATTTAACCTCGAAGGAGAAGGTGGACTCTTGGAGTTCATAGAGAAACGGCTAAAGGAACATGGTCACTTGGTGATTGTTCTTGCTGAAGGAGCAGGACAAGATTTGATGTCCAAAAGCATGGAATCTAATACTCTCAAGGACGCGTCTGGTAATAAACTTCTTAAAGATGTCGGCTTCTGGCTATCACAAAGCATCAAAGTATATAAAACAAGACTCGAACTTTATCTTATGCCATTACAGAAAACTCATTAGTGTTTTTAACATTTTTTTCTCTGGTGATAGGATCATTTTAAGAAGATTCAGATGGTGATGAATCTCAAATACATTGGTAACAAAATGATAACCCTTTTACTCCCCCATTTTAAATTTCAGATATTTGGATTTACTGTTTTTTTGTAAACTCATTTCTTGTTTCTCGCTTTTTAGATCCAGCATACATGATCCAGGCTGTTCCAAACAATGCATCAGACAATGTCTACTGTACACTTCTTGCTCAGAGTGTGGTTCATGGCGCTATGGCTGGTTACACTGGCTACACCAGTGGTCTTGTCAATGGAAGACAGACATACATCCCTTACTAAGTTACTGAAATAGATCAAATGCGTTTTTGCTTTAATCCCGAGTTTAGACTTGCGGGACGGATCTGACTGTTGATTAGGCTAGTTGCAATGGAATAATCTGGTTCGACTTGACGGAGGCTGTGATTTGATCCTTTTTTGTTGTTGCAGAGAATAACAGAGAAACAGAACAATGTGGTGATTATGTTTCGGAAAGTGGGATTCAAAATAAAGCTGTACTTACCTTTGGGTGAGTCGTACTATATTAAGAATGAAACAAATGTCTCATTTTATATGAATTACCAGTTTCTTTACGTGGACATGACTACCAGATATCCATGGTGTTTTCGAAGGAGTCATCGAGAATATGCATTTGCATTGGAAACACAGAGAATTGGCGAAGCTTATATCAAAATAGAAGAGTCTTGCGGTTCTCGAGGACTGATAGGGCTCAGGTTTTACCCAAATAAAACTATTGTAAGTGCACATCAAAAGCAATTGTAGTACAAGGGGTATCGAATCCCAAAGAAGTAATGCAAACTATACTATCGAATGTAGGTTTGGATTAAGCTAAACAGAATGTAATGTATGTAATGCGAATGATAAAATAAAAGTAAGCAAGCGAATTTATTGTTTAATCTAAATTTCAGAAGACTAAAAGCGCTAAGTCAGGACAGTTCGCAGGTTGAATCCGAGAATGTATAATGCATGAAATCAGGAGTGATTAAGAACCGTTTTGAACATGTATATCAAATATATAACTAATCAATTCTCATTGCAGAAGTTATCTATGTCTAAATCACAGAGTTTCAAATCTCTTTGCAAACCCTAACAATCTAAACATACAGTAATGATCAGGTTCAATTATTCACAAAACTTTTACACCAAATCTCTTTGCACTAAGTTGTTTTGCTCATCAAATACTAGTTCAGGTTATCAACTATGCTCTCACATATATTTAACAACCTATGATTTTCGAATTTCTAGATGATGTGTCTAAGAAATTCGATTTTAAAGCAAACAGAGATGAAAAATTAAAAGATATTCCTAACAGGTAGCGATTCTACTATCTCTTCTTCAATCTTTTAAAAAGCCCTAACTTAACTAACAAATTACTCAGACATGATCATGGAATCACAAAACATAACTGAATAGATTTGCATTGAGAGAAAGAGTAAAAGAATAAGGGGGTTCGAAATCTTCTCAAAAGAGTACAGGATCTGTCTCTCAAAAAAGCTCTGAATAAATCTCTCTCTCAAACTCTATGAATTCTAAAATCTAAGATAAAAGCCAACAATCGCTGAAAAACCTAATAAATAGAGGCTAAACACGATCTGGGGCTTTTTATAAATAATAGAACTTCTAGGCCAATTCTGTAAATAATGCTCCATCTTTTAATAAACCAGCCACCCTCCTTCCTTGGTGGGTGACGAGCGTCACCAAGAGTGGTGACGAACGTCACCCATCTCTGATTTCGCTTTCTGAGTTGTACACTTCGTGGCTTCATCTTGTAATGATCCAAAAAGCTCCAATATCTTCAATTATGCTCCAGACATGCTATAACCTGCAAAGACTCTACTAGAACTCTAAAAGACCAAAAAGACACAATTAAAAGGACTTATATCATGGTTAAAAACCATAAAAACCATGATATATCAACTCCCTCAGACTTAGCTTTTACTTGCCCTCAAGCAAACATCAGACAAAAAATAGGGTCGAGGTTTGAAAACAAGAAACAATCGGTCAATCAGCAGGAACACCACATTAGTTAACACTTTCGAATCCACATACCACAGAGTCAACACAAGATCAAATTTCAGTCTAATTATCACAAGCTTAGCAAATCTTTCAAATCTAGTCCAAATCCCTTCAAGAAATCTGAAATTTCTACTACCAACTCCTTATATCTATCTAAGTGTGATATCTCATCAAGGTTTTATCATCTCAGTCACTTATAGATTCATTTCCCTTCCTAAACAACTGAACAAAGCAATCTCAACACTGCTCTCCTATTTTCTCTTCTCTTGATCTTCTCCTTTGGATATTTTCGATTTTTCACTTCTTTCTGTCAACTTTTACAGTCTAAGATATGGTGTTACTCAATACTTGTGTTTCTTGTGAGGAGACAGGTTCTTAAGTGTGTTCATTACTGTTGTTCCTTGTGAGGAGACAGGGTCATGAATGCACCATTCTTTGGACTCAAACTCATAAAAACTACATCAGGGAAGATCAAAGATAGACTGTATCTTAACCATACTTGTCAGTGTTGAAAGAGAGAATCAAGATCAATAAGAATCAAGCCCCAAGATAAAAAGTTTAAAGTTCATTAAGGTGGAGCTAACAGCAAATTTTTCAGATTCTCTAAGAACATAAACTTTCATTGCTAGACTGATCTACCTATGATTTTCAACTTAGTAAGACCTGTAATCAACTACTATGGCAATGGTTCTTATAAGCAAAAACGTCCTATGGATAGTTCCAAGAAAAACTGACAATTTCAAAATTTTGACTCTATAAAAATAGGTTTTTGACTCAACGTTAAGACTCTATAAACATGACACAAAGCACACAACGTCAGTAACCACCTCCCCCAGACTTAAACAACACTGTCCCCAGTGTTATTAAGCCTAGAGTTGGTCAAAAAGATGAATGAGAACTCGAGAAACCAAGTTGAAAAAGTGTTACCTTGCGAAGGGTCGGGTGACGAGCGTCACCGCGACCTGTAATTCAGAAACGTCCAGTTAGATAGTTATTATCGTAATGTTGTCATGTGTACTCTAAAGTTAGACTATTAGAGCACTCAAACACACAATTAATAACATCCAAACATAGTAATAAGAACCTGGTTCAACAATCTCACAAAACATTATCAAAGTAACTGACAACTGACTCAAAGAAAACACAAAAATGACTCAAGAGAAAATAAAAGAAAAGAAAAATAGAAACAAGTAACCAGATAGTAGAGGCTCAGTCCTCATCCTGGCAGGGATCGGTGGTGTAATGTGGACGGACACAACCACAGTTGCTAAGTGTAGCAACAGCATCCCAAAGTCCCTCAAAGCTGTCAATGACATACTCCTGAAAAGCAGCCATGTCCATAGGTGTATGTGGTCGTGGAGGATGCCTGAAAGCAGTGGAAGTAGTGGTCTGGTGTCTAGATGGTCCAGCATCAGCAGCAGTGGAAGCGCCTGCGGTGGCTGCTCTAGCAGGACGCAGAGGTAAAGGGCGCAGCAGACTCCGATCTGGCAGAAAGAAAAGCTGGCGTGGGACACCCTGAATCGTCGTGAGGGCTCTCTGTGGCAACTTAATGTCAACATACTCTCCAGCAGTAATAGTAAATGTCCAGACAACTCCAGTCTTGAGCCAAGTAACATGGCGCAGATGCTGGTCATCCATAAGGAATCTGTCACTGCGAAAGCTGCAAGGAGTCACATCGATCTGAAAGTGATGGAAGATCGGTGTCAGAAGACTGCCCACACTCTCAGTCTTCTCCCCCGGACTAGTGAATGGCTTGGTCTTCAAGGAGACCAAATGCTCAGCGAAAATAGCGCCAAATGATATATCATGGTTTTTGCTGGTTTTTTACCATGATATAAGTCTTGTTTATAGAGTCTTTTTGGTATTTTTTGAGTCCTATAGAGTCTTTGCAAGTCTAGTACGTTTGGAGCATAACTGTGGATTTTGGAACCTTTTGGAGCTATGTTGAAGCTGATGCTGAAAGGACCAGGTCGGAAGGCATTATGGAGCAGGGTGTCGATTGACACCCACCACTTGGTGTTAATCGACACCGGTCGTGGTCGCGAAAGGAGTCTTTAAAACTCTGTTGAAGAATTGCAACTTGGCCCAAAAGTTTCCCACATTTTGCACTTTTGCCCCAGTTCGTGTTTAGACTTGTATTTAGGTTTTCTAAGCCATTGTTAGGCTATTATCTTGTTTTCATTGAGACTAAGAGAGAGACTAGATTGAGAGCTTTTGGGGAGACAAATCCATACTCTATAGAGAAAAATTTCGAACCCCTTCATCTTTTACTCTATTTCTTAATGCAATTTTATTCAGCCATGATTTGTGTTTCACTTGCTATGTCTGAGTAATCTGCTAGTTAGGTTTTGGGTTATTCAAAGGTTGATAATGAATTGTTAGAACTACAAAACTGGAAGGATAAATCATTTGGTTCTTCATTTGGATTGCTTTAACACTAGTTTTAAGATTGATCACCTAGAAATCAGATCTTAGGTATTTTAATAGATGTGGAAACATTATTAATCACCAGAACTATCTTAGATGAGCAAAATAACTAATTGCAAAGGAATTTAGATTAGTGATTTTGTGAACATATCTATAATGCATGTTTAGGTTGTTAGAATTTGCAAAGGAATTTAGAATTCTAGAATCTGATCATAGTTAATCTCTGCGACGGAAGTCGATTGGTTTTACATTTGTGTTTTCGAGTTCTACAACAGTTTTAATAAATATTTCTTTCAGATAAGTGGTCAGGTTGAAATTTCCAACAGGCAGATCAAGGAAATCCTAAAAAGATAGTTGGAAAGACAAGAAAGGATTGGTCTGCCAAGTTAGATGATGCACTTTGGACTTACAGGACAGCATTCAAGACACCACTTGGCGCCACTTCATTCTATTTGCTTTATGGGAAGGCATGCCACCTTCCAGTAGAGCTTGAACACAAGGCAAATTGGACTGTCAAGAAGATGAACTTTGACTGGAAATCCGCTGCAGAGAGGCGCCATATACAGCTCAATGTGTTAGATGAGATCAGACATCATGCATATGAGAACTCAAAGCTGTACAAGGAGAGGACTAAAGCATACCATGACAAGAAGATCCTTGCCAAACATTTTGAACCAAATGACCAGGTACTTTTGTATACCTCACGTTTACAATTATTTCCTGGAAAATTGCGTTCTCGTTGGTCAGGTCCTTTCACAGTCAAGGAAGTCAGACCATATGGTGCAGTTTTTCTATGAACTCCAGATGGCAGGGATTTTGTTGTCAATGGGCAAAGGGTG